GATCCTGAGAAAGAACCACCTCTTGTCACTTCAAACACCATCTTATCGATCTTGGCCGCCGACTACCCTGTTGAAAAGCTTGCATGTTACGTTTCTGATGATGGTGGAGCACTTCTGACCTTCGAGGCCATGGCTGAAGCTGCTAGTTTTGCCAACATTTGGGTTCCCTTCTGCCGTAAACATGACATCGAGCCTAGGAATCCAGAGTCCTACTTTAGCCTGAAGAGGGATCCCTACAAGAACAAAGTGAAATCAGACTTTGTCAAGGACCGCAGAAGGGTAAAGCGGGAGTACGATGAGTTCAAGGTGCGAATCAATGGTTTGCCTGATTCCATTCGCCGTCGTTCTGATGCATATCACGCACGGGAAGAAATCAAAGCCTTGAAGCTTCAGAGGCAGAACAGGGAGGATGAACCTGTTGATAGTGTCAAGATTCCAAAGGCTACATGGATGGCTGATGGTACTCACTGGCCTGGCACTTGGATGACTCCTGGACCTGAGCACTCCAAAGGAGACCATGCTGGAATTATTCAGGTATATTCTTATAGTTCATTTGCTTTCATTCTCCAGGCCACTACATGGATTGGTTTAACTGATATAAGAAATGGGGCGGTGTTCTATGCAGGTGATGCTGAAACCTCCGAGTGACGAGCCACTACATGGCGGTTCCGATGAAGCTAAGCTCATCGACCTCACTGATATTGACATTCGCCTCCCGCTTCTTGTTTATGTTTCCCGTGAGAAGCGTCCTGGTTATGATCATAACAAGAAGGCAGGAGCCATGAACGCTCTGGTTAGAGCTTCTGCTATCATGTCAAATGGCCCTTTCATTCTCAATCTGGACTGCGACCATTACATATACAACTCTCAGGCACTAAGAGAAGGCATGTGTTTCATGATGGATCGAGGTGGGGATCGCCTCTGTTATGTCCAGTTCCCTCAGAGGTTCGAAGGTATTGACCCCTCTGACAGATATGCCAACCACAATACTGTCTTCTTCGATGTCAACATGCGTGCTCTCGATGGACTTATGGGACCTGTCTATGTGGGGACGGGATGCCTTTTCAGAAGGATTGCTTTGTATGGGTTTGACCCTCCTCGATCAAAAGATCACCATCCAGGCTGCTGCAGCTGCTGTTTCTCCAGCCGCCGGAAGAAGCATTCCTCAGTTGCACACACTCCGGAGGAGAATAGGTCATTGAGGATGGGTGATTCAGACGATGAAGAAATGAACCTCTCGCTGCTGCCCAAGAAGTTCGGTAACTCAACCTTCCTGATCGACTCAATCCCAGTGGCTGAGTTTCAAGGACGCCCGCTTGCTGATCACCCAGCTATTAAGAATGGGCGCCCACCTGGCGCTCTGACCATTGCACGTGATCTTCTCGATGCATCTACGGTTGCTGAGGCAATCAGTGTCATATCGTGCTGGTACGAGGACAAGACGGAGTGGGGTCAGCGAACTGGATGGATTTACGGGTCGGTCACTGAAGATGTGGTGACCGGTTACAGGATGCACAACAGAGGCTGGAAATCTGTTTACTGTGTCACCAAGCGTGATGCCTTCCGAGGCACGGCACCTATCAATCTCACGGACAGGCTCCACCAGGTGCTGAGGTGGGCCACTGGTTCGGTCGAGATCTTCTTCTCCCGCAACAACGCGCTGCTGGCGAGCTCAAGGATGAAGTTTCTCCAGAGAATAGCGTACCTCAACGTCGGTATATACCCTTTCACATCGGTGTTCCTGATCGTCTACTGCTTCCTGCCAGCGCTCTCCCTGTTTTCGGGGCAGTTCATCGTGAACACTCTGGACGTGACGTTCCTCGTGTACCTGCTCGTCATTTCTGTGACGCTGTGCATGCTGGCAGTGTTGGAGATCAAGTGGTCTGGGATCGAGCTGGAGGAATGGTGGAGGAACGAACAGTTCTGGTTGATCGGCGGGACCAGTGCTCACCTGGCAGCGGTGCTCCAGGGCCTGCTGAAGGTGGTTGCCGGGATCGAGATCTCCTTCACTCTGACGTCAAAGTCGGGAGGCGACGACGTGGACGACGAGTTTGCGGATCTATACATAGTGAAGTGGACATCGCTGATGATACCGCCGATCGTGATCATGATGGTGAATCTGATTGCTATAGCGGTGGGCGTGAGCAGGACGATATACAGTGTTATCCCGCAGTGGAGCAGGCTTCTGGGAGGAGTGTTCTTCAGCTTCTGGGTGCTGGCTCATCTTTATCCATTTGCCAAGGGGCTGATGGGGAGGAGAGGGAGGACGCCTACGATTGTGTTCGTGTGGTCGGGGCTCGTGGCCATCACCATATCTTTGCTTTGGGTGGCCATCAATCCTCCTTCCAACACTAACCAAATTGGTGGATCCTTCCAGTTCCCCTAAGCTACTGCTAGACCCTCCTCTTACTCAGTTACTCCTCTGCAGCTTGATTTTGACGTGATTCCCCTGCCTGCAAGTATTCCTTCATTAAATTATTACTCCTATATATTGGCTCTTCTTTTAGAAACTTTTTCTGTAACTGTGACCAAACAAACAGAAGTACATGTTTTCTCTCTCTTTTCTTTTGTAATGGAAAGTTTGATGTTAGTGTTGATCAGTTTTACAGCAGGTGACTAATGAAAGTTGGTTTTGCAATCCATGGTGTCGTTGGTCCATTAGTTAAAAGTAGAACATGCATTTTTCTTGGTAGATTATAGATGGAAGTAAGAAAGTAGAGGAAGTGCATGCAGAAGTCGTGAACTGCAGTGGTTTGAGCAGCTGAGATGCATGGGATGGAAAAAATGTTATCTCCTGATCCTGTCCTAACTCCATCCAACCCAAGCCCTGGAACTCCGTCAAATAGAAAAAATACCAGAAACACGATCCACCCGAAGGAGGATTATGGCATCTTACGTTTTCCGTTGCATTGTTTTGCAACTGCTGCTGCTGATTTTGGTTGCTGCTGCTGCAGATCATTCAGACGATGGTGTCAATCACAATTCTTCCTACGCTAGTGCAACAACAGCTGCGGACACCGGCGGGCGAGACCTGGCCGTTGCGACGGAAGAGATGAGGAGAGCCAACTACTTCACTTTCGTGATGCTGCTGAACATGATGATGGCCGATCAACAGGACGCCGCCGGCAACCTCACCTTCCTCATGCCCAACGACCGCATCTTGTCGAGGATCACATTCAAGACCCAACAACAAGAAGCAGAAACACAAGTCGACGACGACGAGCAGTCATCATCATCATCATGGTCTGTTAGGGAATTCATGCTTCGTCATTCCATCCCCTCCCCGTTGCTGTTCGACCATCTCTGGCACTTCCCGTCGCGTTCCACCATCCCGAGTTCCAGCCCGGGGTACGTGCTTCACGTCCGCAACGACAACGACGTTAGCAGCAAATGGTGGCGGAGGAGGAGGAGCAACGGCGGAGGAAGGGGGAACTACAACTTCTCCCTCAACGACGTCAAGATCATCAGCCCCAATATATGTACCTCTCCGGCTTCCTCCATAAGATGTCACGGGATCGACGGCGTGCTTCCCCTCCGGCCGATTTCCACTCCTACTTGTGGGCCGAAGTCCGCTGGTCCACCTGACGTCGGCGGCGATGATGTTGGGGTTGCCATTAGTCCGGCACCCTCCACCACCCACGTCGACCCCATACAACCTTCGCCATCGTCCCCCCACAAGAGATCATCGTCGTCGTCTTTGTCGTCCTCACCTGCTGGGCTTTCTTCTCAACTGCTCCTCCTCTTATTCGTGTTTGTATCATGTTGGGCCTAGCATCCCTCCAGGATCAGAAGGATATATCATCGTGGGCTGGGCCTCTGATTCTTGTTAACTACCTATTATCACTGTAGTAATTCATTTATGGTTCACTGCTTTCTTACTGTCTTTTCCTTTCACCAGAAAAAAATAAAGACCCTGATTTGTTATTTTATTGCGCTAATGCAATATAATGAAAAACTTTATCAACATTGACAGCAAAGAGGAGAATGTAGCTTTCTGCAAATGCGATTCTGAAAGATGCAGATGGTGTTGGGTGAGTGAGCATGATGAAAATAAGCATTCGTGTTCATGTAAAGCTATCCATCCATGTTTCTTCCTTTCCAATGTCCCAAAACAACATCCAGCATCAGTAAAATTACATTTTCCCCTGTAAACGCGATTCACTTTCAAGCCGATAACGATCACCTTCCAGCTTCTCTCCTTCCAGCATATCCCGGCAAGTAGGGATGACAATTTACCCACCCATGGGTAATTTTGCTCAAACTCAAGTAGACCCATTTATTATTGGTAGGGTTTGGGTGATATGTGTATGGGTTTGGGGTTTGTATATGGGTTTGGGTTAGATATGGATATTATCTAAATGGGTATGGATTGGATATGGATATCCATTTACTTGAGGGTGTTTTAACTACACATGCAAAAATTGGACTTATTTGTAAAACTTAAAAAATTTAGGTACCAAAATGTAAGACCAAAAAAATTTAGGTACCAAAACGTAATTTTCTATCGATATTTTGAGGACTTATATGCAAAAAAAAAAATTTAAATTTAGGTACTAAATGTGCATATCTATTAAGTTTAGGTACCAAACTATAATTTGTATTTGGGCATGAGTACAAACCCAAATCCATTTGTTATAAACCCAACCCAACCCAAAGTAAATGGGTATGGGTATAAACCCATCAAACTTTACCCATATCCATATATTTGGATTTCATACCCAACCCAATTGGGTTGGATAGTAAAATACCCAGGGGTATGGGCAAAATTGCCATCCTACCAGCAAGTATCATGCTACATGGATGGATGCAATCTCCCCTATCTTAACCTTTTAAGTTAAGTGACAGATAAACCTTAGGTAGCAGTAAGAAACAATCCTCAGAAATCCTGAATCACACATCGCAAAGGATCTAGAAAAGTAAACTAAGCTCCAACTTTCACAGATTTGGATCACAGAATGATATCATTGTAACCAATATTTCCCCTATCACGCATAGGGTAGAATTATGGGTCAATGCAATATCAAGCTATTCAGCCAGCTTAACAAAATATGAAGATCGCCAAACCAATAATCATGGGTCAATCCTCTACATATTATGAATGATAGCAATCTTATTCCCCGGAAGGATACAATATGCATACAAATCCATAGAATCCATGAAAAATGCAAAGGGGTGGATGGATATCCCAATTTCTACTAAGAATTCACCAAGACAGAAGACACACATCAAGAGCTTATTCCCCTGGTAATCAACACCAAGCTGCTAATGATTTGGGATGCATACAGAATTCATTAAGCATGCCAAAGATGACACGATTGCCCCGATAACATATAATGTAGTGTAACGCCTTTGTCCTGCCTCACACAAAGAAGACAAGTCGTACCAAGCTCCTAGTGATGATGATCCTGGACGAACCTCAGACCACAATATTTGCAAACTGCAGGCTCCTTCAGGTCCAAGCAGATGAACTCAATTGGATGCCCAAGTGCAGGGTTTGTATCTGCAGAACCAAACAGGCCCCAGGCCAACACATTAACTTAACAGCTCCAGATAGATTATCTCTTTCCATCTCTATTTCCTCCCAAGATTATGACACAAATAAGGAACCACAGTTTCAAAATGAAGGAAGCAAGCTACGAAAAGTACAAAACTAACCTCCTTCGCACGCAGCAATCCTTCCCTCAACCTTGATGGGTGGAATCTCGTTGATCAACTCCATCGGAGATTTCTTGGTTGTATCCTGCGTAACAAGAAAAAACAACCCTTTTTCAAGCTCTTATTCTTCTTCTTGAAAACAGAAATTCCACTCAGGATGCAGTGGAAGTCACTGTTACATATAAACATTGACAAATAGACCCATGTTTGATACAGCAAGGAGATCATAATTTAGGGAAAAGATACTTTCTTTCCCACTTTCTTTCGCTGGTTTGAAGACTAATTCGGGCATCATGAAACGCAGTTGCCTCAGGACCATGAACATGAGATTGTGAAAAACACATTGGGAAAACATCCATCCTTGCATCCGATACCTCATCAAACAGTACTCGAACATAAGCGCATAACTATACACAGCGACTTTCTCAGATTTGGAAGCCCAACGCGATAGATAGGAACGCAACTAAAACTAATCTATTCCAAATTACTGATCATTGGTCCTTCTAAAACGTATGCCAATTGAGAAAAAAATCCTAGTTTTCAAAGAAAGGGATGAATCTAATTGAAAAGCACCTGCATCCATTTGGCCGTGTGTTGGCTGATTTGGCTGCTAACGAGGCTGAAATTTCTTGTCGCGGTGGGAGCAGAGGAACCCACCAAACCGGACGATTGTTTCGCTAGGGTTTTCAACAAAGACGCCATCGGAAGGAAGGAATGGAGAGCTTCTTCTCGTTGCTCGCAATGCGCCTGACTGGCCTTTCTGAAGAAGCGAATCGGTACGGTTGGAAATTTTGCAGTTGCAGAGAGGAGAGAGAATGCCTTCCTTCTGGTTCTGGAAGAGGAGTTGGATTTCATTCACGTTTGTTGTGGCCCAAAATTGGCATTGGCCCAAATACGAATACTTGGACTGGGCCTGGTAATGAATGAAAAACAAAAAACAAAAAAATTATTCAAGAAAAACGATCCTAAATCGGAGTGCAACAGTTTAACAGGGGAAGAAAAAGGAAAGATTCAAATTCAAACTTGCCATTCGGCTCCGGCGAGAGCTTTTTCCCTCCACATCCCACCAGATCTCTCTCAGTCTCTCAGACCCAAACCCTGCTCGGCGAGATGGCGGCGAGCGGCAGCAATCAGCTCTCCACGCCGTCCAAGACTCCTCACTCTAGAAAACACCATCTCCACCACCACAGCTCCTCCTCTTCGTCGTCTAGATTCGAAGCCTACAACCGCTTGCAAGCAGCAGCGGTAGCATTCGGCGAGAAACTCCCCATCCCGGAGATCGTAGCCATCGGCGGCCAATCTGATGGCAAGAGCTCCCTTCTCGAAGCGCTCCTCGGATTCCGCTTCAATGTCCGCGAGGTGGAGATGGGTACACGCAGACCACTTATTCTCCAGATGGTCCATGACCCTACCGCCCTAGAGCCCCGCTGCCGTTTTCAGGTCTCTTCTTGAGCCTAGTGTCCCAGGTTTCAACTCGATATAGATATGTCCTTTGAGAATCCTTTTAGGGTTTTTCCATTTCAAATGGTGGTTGGGTTTTGTTGATTGGGTATCAGTTTGTGACCTTAAGCGAATTGCAGAACCATCTTCCACTGACTCTATTGGCCGAGATGAACTATCCTTCAATACGATCTTTTATTGGACTTGCAGGAAGAGGATTCCGAGGAATACAGCAGTCCTGTTCTTTCTGGACCTGCAATTGCAGATGTTATAAAGTCGCGGACGGAGGCACTTTTGAAGATCACAAAAGCTGCGGTTTCTGCTAAGCCACTTGTGATGAGGGCTGAGTATGCGCATTGCCCCAATCTCACCATCATAGATACCCCTGGCTTTGTCCTTAAGGTAAGTGGGGAGACCTTTCCACATTGGTATCATCCTATCACCATCATTGGTACCCTTAATTTGGTTTTTATGTATCTGTGTGTGGGGTTTGTGGGCAGGCAAAGAAAGGAGAACCAGAGAACACACCAGATGAAATCCTTTCCATGGTCAAGTCATTGGCGAGCCCTCCACATCGGATCCTCCTGTTCCTTCAACAAAGTAGTGTTGAGTGGTGTTCATCATTGTGGTTGGATGCAATTCGCGAAATCGATCCCACTTTCAGAAGAACCGTGATTGTTGTTTCCAAATTCGACAATCGTCTCAAGGTACACCCCTCTCCCACTTGCACTTGCCAGCTCTCACTAATAACTGTTAAACCCTTCATTGCAGCACTCCCATGACTGTTTCCTTGTCTTCTAATTGGTTTAATGAAGGAGTTCACTGATCGTTGGGAAGTAGATCGCTACTTGAGTGCAAGTGGGTACCTTGGAGAGAATTGTCGCCCATATTTTGTTGCCCTCCCGAAGGACAGAAGTACCGTCTCTAATGATGAGTTCCGCAGGCAAATATCTCATGTAGACTCTGAAATCCTGGGTCATTTGCGTGATGGTGTCAATGGAGGATTCGATGAAGAGAAGTTTGGGACACATATTGGCTTCAGTAGCCTGAGGGACTTTTTGGAGTCAGAACTTCAAAAGAGATACAAAGATGCAGCACCAGCTACTCTAGCTTTGCTTGAGCAGCGCTGCAGTGAAGTTGGCATAGAGCTGGCTAGGATGGACTCCAAAATTGAAGCTACATCTGATGTTGCTCATCTTCGCAGATCTGCTATGTTGTATGCAGCTTCTCTTAGTAATCATTTGGTGAGCAGCCAACCAGATCTGACTGCACATATCCACTAAGTACTTAAGTTGATTGACAATTTCCTTTAGATCCATTTCAATTATGTTATCTTCTCATTTCCGTGCAAACATTTACATTTCCTCTTTTAGTAGATGGTAGAATTATCCTAACCATGCTGGTAAGATAGATTAGTGTGTGGTGGTGTTGTTAAGCATGCAAATTAAATTTTCTGCTTACTTACAAAAAACTTGTTCCTTTGTCTTATTTGTTTGTGTAGAGATCACTGATTGATGGAGCAGCAGATCCTGCCCCGGAGCAGTGGGGCAAGACAACGCAAGAAGAACAATCAGAGAGTGGTCTGGGTAGTTGGCCCGGTGTAGCAGTGAATATAAGACCTCCTAATGCCTCTCTAAAGCTTTATGGAGGAGCAGCTTTTGAGAGAGTGATGCATGAATTCAGGTGTGCCGCATATTCCATTGAATGCCCTCCAGTCTCAAGGGAAAAGGTATATTATTTACTGTCATTAAGTTGTTTTCTTTTTCCTTCTACTTCCTGGTAAAGGAAGTTAGACAGATATGCTCAATGCCAAGAATAAGTGAAAGTACCCGTTTGATTTATGCTTTTCTGAAATAGGTAGCCAACATATTATTAGCTCATGCTGGCCGTGGTGGTAACAAAGGTGTAGTAGAAGCTTCAGCCGAGATAGCTCGTTCTGCTGCTCGCTCATGGCTCGCTCCCCTTCTTGACACAGCATGCGATCGTCTGGCTTTTGTTTTGGGGAATCTCTTTGATATTGCCCTGGAAAGAAACCATTTTCGTGAACTAGAGTGTAAGCAACCTGTTGCACATACTCAGTCATATGTTCAGCTTTCCTGGTGCACTTTTATTTTCTGTTTTGGAGCTTCACATTCATTTGAACAATAAAGGGTTGGTACTTGGTTCTCCCAATGTGCAGATGGGAAGAAAAATGGAAACATGGAAGGCTATGTCGGTTTTCATGCTGCACTGAGGCGAGCTTACAACCAATTCATAAGGAACCTTACTCAGCAGAGCAAGCAATTGATCAGACATCACCTTGATTCAGTTACAAGCCCATATTCAGAAGTCTGTTATGAGACTGACTTCCACGGAGGCTTTGGTTCAAGTTCCTTGAAATTCGGCCAAGCCTCTACTAGCGTTCCATTTTGCTTGGAACTATCAAACGGTGGGGGCTTGTGCCGCAACAATGAAGAGAAAAGGGACCAAGAGAACATCCCTCCAGAAAAGAGTAATGCACAAGAAACCACCCCAGGGAAAGGCGGCGGCGAAACAAGAGAAGGTCTGAAAGAAAGCCAAATGACTGTGCCTGAGACGCCCTCTCCTGATATGCCATGTGAGGTTGTGAAGAAGGAACATGGTAACTATGTCGAGCTTGGACCCAGAAAGCGGATTTCAAGATTGACCGGAAATGGCAGAAACCATGAGCTCGTGAGACTTCAAAATGGGGACAGCCGACTTCTGGTCTTCGGAAATAATGGGGATACGGGCACGAGGGCAGGCAGCTCGGCGTACTCGGACATTTGCTCCTACGCTGCCCAGCATTTTGCACGAATGCGTGAAGTTCTGCTTGAAAGGAGCGTGACATCGACTTTGAACTCCGGCTTTTTGACTCCCTGGTGCGGTTTGTTTCATTGATTCATTCACTCATATGTAGTCTTGTTTGTAATCTGTATATACTGTTGCTTGCTGTGCTGATTGCAGCCGAGACGAGCTGGTAGTGACGCTTGGACTGGAGTTGTTTGCTGCAACAGACGACAAGTTCATGGAGATGTTCGTGGCGCCTGGTGCCATTGACGTGCTGACGAACGAACGGCAGTCGCTTCAGAAGAGACAGAAGACACTCCAATCTTGTTTGACTGAGTTCAAGACCATATCCCAGACACTGTGATTGGGAACTTGAGAAAAAAAGGGCACACTTGGCTGGAAGGTGTTGTGGCTGGCGGTCAGATTCTGGTCAGTTGTTGCTGCCGTGGTTATCTCATCCACACAAGAGGCAGAGTCACCGTTCTCCTTGCTGTAATCACTCTCTCTGTATGTCAAACCTTAAAAAAACCAAGACTGATTGTATTCCTTTCATTGGGAAAAAGCCCCTGTTCAAGGTTGTCAATAGCACGTTGGCCCGGTTGAGTAAGTATGTAAAGGGTTAATGATTGGATCGTTCTAACTCGTTTTTTAACCCGGTTTAGCTCGTATATTAGTAAATATATGCAAATATTGGATTAGGGCGGATTACAAATCCTTCGAGTTCGGGTTTTACCCTAGTTGATTAGGGTGGTTATGGATGGATAACTATGGTTGCGGATATTTTTGCCGGGTTAATTACATGGTTGGTCACTGAGATTACTAAAAAAGTTCACATTTAGTCACTAAAAATATTTAATTCCATTCGTAGTCACTAAGATTAGTTAAACGGTTCAATTTCGGTCACTCTCCGTCCAACTCCGTTAACTTTAGCTGATGTGGTAGTCAACTTTCAAAGTTGACCGTTAAATCTGTGACGTGGCAAATAAAAAATTATAAAAAAATAAAATTTAATTTTTACCATTTCCACCTCATACAAAAATAAATTAAAACAAGTAAAAATATAAAATAATTATATTAAAATTTTAATCATTCCCTCAACCAACCTGCAATTGAAAGTTGGAAACTCCAAAACCCTTCTCAAACTAATCCCAAACCAATCAATCTTCACCTGCAATCAAAAGTCTTCACCTTCCCTCAACCCCGACCGCCGTCACTATTTCCTCCCGGTCAACCGTCACGCTCCCATCATCGTCGATCATCGCCGAATCTTCATCTTCCCACCCTTCGACCAACTTGTCGCCATCCACAGTCCAATCCCAATTGTCATCGATTTAGGGTTCACAGGTAGGAGCACTCTCTTTTAATCAGCTCCTCTGGACGGCCATATGTCGATTCGCTGACCGAATAACTCAAGGGATAGGGATGGATGAGATGCAGAATATTTTGAAGCATTGGAGCTGGTGAAGGCGCCCACGGCACCGACAACACCTGGAGGAAGCGCAAGGAGAAGAGACGGAGGCGGATGTATAGGGCAAAAGATGTAGGTGAATATATCTGCAACTCTTTTTCCTTTTCTGCCCCCAACGATGCGATATCCATCC